ACACTGATCTACACTATTAGGACCACCAAAAAGTTCAAATAGCCATGAATACGCAGATTGTACTGAATAACAACCTGAAGAATCTGCCCTCCATACCTATTTATCTTCTTGTAGTAACTTAATAGAAACTCCATCCACAAGCTCCAACAAAAGATTAAAGCTCGAGATTTCATGTTGAAAGAGTCCTCTTCGCCAACTAACATTCCAAACCCATCTAGTGCCATCATGAAAACCATTCTCCACTACACGTGATTCAACATTTCTCGCCACTGCAAATAATCGCGGAAATGCTTCACACAATCGCACCCCTCCTACCCACTTATCTCTCCAAAAAAGAGTGTGTAAACCTGCACCCACACTTCTATCAAACTTCTCATCCAGCCATGAATTCCCTTGATGAATAACCTCCAGCAAATCACGCCACCACAAAGAACATCTGTTGTGAACTGATGAACGCTGAAGAGAAGAAGTAATCTTCCATATCTAGATTCCAACACCCGCACCCACAATGAACTTGAATAGTTAACACCTCGCCACAACCATTTACCAAGAAGCGCCCAATTAAACCACTGCACATTCCTAATGCCCAAGCTACCATTCTTCCGCGGTCTACATACAGTTTTCCATTTCACCTAGGGGATTTTAGATCCATCCTTAACACCCTTCCATAAAAAATTCCGTTGGATAGTGACAATTTCCTTTATTACCGACTTCGGCACTTTAAAAAAGGATAACGAGTGCAATGACATAGAATTAAGAACGGCATTAATCAAAGTCACCCTACCTCCAATCGATAAATACCTATGCTTCCATGACGCTAACCGCTTTTTAAGAGCCTCTAACACACTCTTCCATGCACTAGGCTTTCTCGGGTTAACACCTAACTGTAACCCGAGATACTTTAATGGGAAACTACCAATCTTACAATGTAGGAACTTCGCAGCCAAGTTTTCAAAGTCATCACCAGTGTTAATCCCCAATACAAAAGATTTATGGAAGTTAATTTTCATACCTGACATTAATTCAAAACTACGCAATACTGCTTTCAAAGTCCACAAATTCTGCACCGAAGCCTCTCCCATAATCAATGTGTCATCCGCAAACTGCAGCAAAGAAATATCTGGTCCCCCTTCCCCAATCGTCACACCATATACTTTTGTGTTTGTGTAAGATTAATTTTATAAGGCATAAAATAATACAATTAATCGAGTACTCTCTATGAGTGGGAATTCCATGTCGTGAAATTCTATTCTTGTTGAAAACTGCTAACCTGTTTTCCATCGTAAAATAGGGAGTTGAATGTTAACTTTAACAATAATCTTATAGACGTTGAATTTTGATTCAATGCTAAAAAAAAATATACATCTTATTATTTGATTTAAGTATTTAATGACAAAAAATGAAGAGCAAAACTTATCGTCAAAAAACTCTACTTGTTGAAAGAAAAATAAAATCTCATTTTTAGTTCATAACACTTCTTAAATGAAATAATAAACATAAGTGATGTCAAAAGAAATAAACCTAACAAAATAAATCTCCTTTCAGAACTAGTATGGTTATGAAGAGAGGAGAAATAAAGGTACAATTATTTTTTAATTCAAGTACATATTTATTATTTTAATATTTTTAAAAAATAAAATAAACTAAATTGTAAACTGTTAATTCTTTCCTCTCTCTCACATATCTAGCAAAAAATTTATAACTATTGATTATCAACAAATATGTAATTTTTTAAATATAATAATCATGTTAAAAGAATATATATTAAGACATTTTATTTAAAAATTCAGCAAAATTACGAAGATTTGTTGAAATAATATCTATATATTTTTTTGGAATTTTTTTTTTCATGTGATTAATTTCTGTCAAACTCAAGCTTTAACCCCATAGAGGCCCCACTAAACTTGAGCTTGGTTACCACTTTGTCCTCTGCATATGTTCTTCATTAAATATTCACCCCTTTCTTTGTTAGAGTACGCAATGAGTTTTTAGGCAAGAGATTTTTTTCCCCATACAAGGACACTGGATTATTTCTTCTCCAAACTTTTTGGTTCTCCTCAATCGTAAAATGACCTTTTCAGTTTTCATAGCATATTGCTCTTTGTTAACTTGGATGGAAAAAGGAATATTCGATATTCACAGTTCTTTAAATTCATGATCACGAGCATGCCAAATGTTTGATAACAGATGCAAACAAATCCAAAGCAAAAAGCTGAAACTCCTTAAACGTAGAACGAAGCTGCTTGGTTAGGCTGCAAAAGCCATTATGGGTGTTATGGCAAAAAGCTTTCAACTCATTTCAAGTTTACATAAATGAATGATAGACTCAATCAATAATGTTACGTGTGAATTATTTTTATAATTTTAATATAATTAGTTTCACAATGTCTTTTTGCATAAGTGCTTCACATACATGTACACACTCAAACACAATGAGTTAATTGTTAGATAAGTTAAGTGGTGATTTATGTGTATGTACAATTGATATTTTATTTTAAGATGTTATTTTAAAAATTAAAAAAGCATTTACTGTATTGTTATATATTATGTTTAAATAATTTAAAAGTTGATATACAAAATACGAGAATTTCAATTAATTTAATTATTATAATAACATTTTTCTGTAAAATTTTATTAACAGATGTAATTTTAAGTAGTTTGACACACAAAATACAAGAGCATCCTAACCTGGATTCAACAATCATATTAACCAGCCTTTATTATACCCCACAAGACTGTGTGCCACACGTTTACTTCAAAGGTGGGGTTGCAGCATACTTTTCGATGTTTCATCGTATTGGAGAGATTGGGGGGGTTGGCAATTAGATTACTTAAAAACAACTACCCTTGCCTTGACATTGTTTTTGCTACTCAAAAGTCAAGTCGACTCATTGTCTTAATTAAGAATAAAATTTTATTGTTGTTTTTTTAATAAAATTTAAAATTTTATTTTAGTAACGTGTATTAATTTTTAATGTTAAACTTTATTACATAAATTATTGAAATCAAACTCCATTATAAAAAAGTTATCATTTATTAACACACAAAAATTATCAAGTGTTAATTAGAATATATTAATATTTTTACTAACAAAATTATTTATTAGTATCGTTGTTAGTATAAATACTTAATGTCTATACCAAGATTTTTTTTTTCTGTTAAATAACAGCTGTACCAACTGTTTATTAGTAAATGATATTTTTGTTTTAGTGTTCTAATTCTAATTGAAGAATAGTATTAAAAATACATATGATAGTCTATTTAAGTTTGTTTCTCATTTGACATACAAGTATTCTCCGTTACCTTAGTTAACCTAAGGTGGAGTTTTGTCTCTACTATCTTAAGAAACACAATAACTTTTTTTTTTTATTATTTAATTAGAATCTGAATAGGCTTAGCTCTGCGACTTGTGAGGAGGAATAGAAGCTCACTTATCTTCTACATGATCTTCAAGTGACTTATTCCAACTGTCTTTTATAGTGACAATAAAAGTTCAGTATCCATAGCTAGCCACTATGTGTTCCATATAAGAAATTCAAACCCTTGAACAATGATTGTCACTTTGTTCACGAGAAGTCCAAATAATTCTCATGTTGCCCATTCGTACTCAAGTCTAGCTTGGTGACACATCTTTAATTACAAAGGTTCTCATTTTGGTTCCTTTCTTGTTCAAGGGCCATGGTCACATCTACCATCTACCAACTTGGGGGGTAGGGGTGGGGATCAGATCAATCACGAAACCAAACTATAAGGGTGTCATATAAATACAGTACATATTAATAAATTTGTTTTATTTACTTTATCTGGAATGCATTTATCTTTAATCGAAAATAATCCTATTCGAATTAGGTAGAATCATTAAAGACGGAAAAGCTCTCCATCCCAGTATACCTATTAGTTAATTGGGTTATAGTAAAATAAATTAAAAATTAGTTTATAAGCAATGTTAATCACTCTTCTTATATGCGTTGTCACAAAATGTCTTTGCCTTAAAATCTACAAAATATGAAACTAACCTAATCAAGGAATTTATATACACTAGAAAAACATCCAGTGTAAAGCATGTCAATGTTAAATTTGCTAAAATTTAAATAAAAAGTATCAACGTCAATTTTTAGAGTTAAATTTAGGTAAAGTAATTTTTTTATTAAAAAATATTTATTATACTTTTACAACTTTAATATAATAAATATATTCTTTTTTAATAAAGATAAAATAATTTTGTGTGCTTAAACCCAACCCTTAAAATTGAAGTTAATAAAACTCAATTTAAATTGTTTTTATATATTTTCTTTTTGTTGTACCTTAAGGATGTACTTTTAATTATCCAAACTTGACTTAATCCTAAAAATTAAATGGGATAGGTTATAATACTATTTTAAATTTACATTTAACTTAATTTAACCCCATCAAACTAGATTACAAGAAATTATTTTTTGTCTAAACCTTCTAAAAAGATATCTCCTAGGAATATAAAACATCTTAAACATATTTATAGTGATATGGAACATCTTAACAGCCAACGCATGTGTCTTGATATAGGTGAGTTAGTAACAGACACACGTTTACAAGTTAAAGGTTACTCTCTAAGTACGTGTTTAGAAATGGAACCAAACACACTGTACGTAAAAAGAGTGTGAATTGCTCTCGCTAAAGTTCTAAAACAAAATGGTTCAGTTTATGACTAAATCACTTAACTAAGTGTGGCAAAGAGCATGTCTACCACAAAACAAGGCACTCTAAAAACGAGAAGACGTGAAGTTAGTCAACAAGACAAAAAACTTAAGGTTCAAATGCACGCGTACAAGCATCTTCTACATGCATGATCACTGACTCGCAAGAGAGAAAGTGAAACCAAGGATTTGCGAGTCCCAATGAAAATTGAAAACAAATAGACGTATATATATTATTCGTTACAGCCAATTATTTGGTTTGACAAGTGAACATGTGTATTCTAAAATCACATGACAATATGACATACCATACCATACCAGCTCCTCTCAGTTTCTTAAAGGAAGAAACTCAAAAAACTGGTTGGAGGCGATTTCACTGTCCATAGAAGCATTGGCACAGAACATAGGTTTTCTCTCAGCAAGACAAATGCCATTTTGGTCGTCCCTTTTAAGTGGAAAAAGGTCTAGGGTCCGAGGATCTGCATTTTCTTCATCATAATAGTTGAAACTTTCTCTGTTTAGTACAGATGGTAAATTGAAATTTTGGGGGGTTAAAAGCTGTGTGTTATGTGTTCTATGTGCAGCTGAACTTGTAGGAACTGCCATAGAAATGGGAGGGAAACAAGGCATTTCCATATTTTGGCACTTAGCTTGCCTTTCTGCTGTGTTTCTCCTCAAAACTTGTATGCCTCTCTCTTCAAATTGAGTCCACACACTAGATCCTTTTTCTGCTATATCCAGCACTGCAGATTCCTGCAAATTACGGATGGTAAAACTTGACAGTAAAAAACTACTTAAAATTATAAAATAAAAAGAGAGATAGAAGAATGACAAAGCAAGTAAAGGAGGGAGAGTGGGGAGGGGTGAGAGAATTCTGAATTCACATTCAATTCACAAGTCCAAGAAAGTCTGAACTGATCTAGCATAAAACAGCCCCAACAGAAAGTTAAAAAAAGCAGCTTTTGAGGCCTCTCCTTTTTTCCAACATACAAAAGCCCTTGCTGTTTTCTTCCATTTCCTTCATGTTTCTCAATGCTGTGTATTATATTTATTTTTTTGGCTTTATCTTTTTATTTGACCTTCTGAATAAATAATTAGACCCCATTATTGCTCTCCCACAATCTTTTTGGTATCTTTGCTTAACAAAGCTGAATAAAATGTTGTAGCTGTACCATGAACAAAGCCAAGAGTAATTACAGACCTCTGCATGTCCACTGCAGTTTGAAGTGGATGCCCACTTCTTTGTCTCTTTAACTCCACAACCTGTCTCTTTCAACCCTGTGGCCAAAATCCAAACACCCCAAAATTCAACGTCAAATCTTGCATCCTAAAAAATCACATAAAACCACACACAAACTCTCTCTCTTTGTTATAATCATCAGTGTAAGGGTGATGTATATAATATAGGAATCTTTTGACCACTAAAAGAACCTTGAATAGCCCCAAAGGCCACAAACGTTATGGAAATGAATTAGCACATGATAATATCTAGCTGTATGTAATGTACCTCCTCCCTCTTATTGCATTTACCCATAACGTACTATTAGTTACTTCACTACTCTTTCTTTCTTTCTTACCTTCATTAGAAGCTGCATTTTCCTCCATTTCCCTACGACGACGTTTCTGTCTCTCTCTTGCCTTGTGATTCTGAAACCAGTAGAAGACGTTCTTCCCTTCAATCTTCCCAAACTGGCGCAACTGTGAAGCTATTTGTTGGATTTGTTCCGCTGATGGTGTTTTAGTTCCTTGCCTATACAATTCCTCAAGGACTAGTAATTGAACTGGCGTTGGACTCCACCTTGTGCTTTGCTGGGTCTGTACATGGGACCCTGTGTTATTTGTCCCTTGTTCTGCTACATTACCTGCACGATAGTACATAAGGCGAATGGGTATAGTTCACACTTGATACTATCATCAAATTTTGTTACCATAATCAAATGACATGTTTATCACATTAAAAAAACAAGGCTTTGCTATGAGTATGAGAATGTTAAGAGTCAACACAATTGGCTTTGGCTTACCAACATGGTGATTGAAGGTGAGGATGTGATTACAGTGGGTGCAAATACAATAAGGTTGGGGTATTGAGCAGATTGTGGGGATTTTGGGGGCTGCATGGGAATTGTGTGGGGAATTTGGAGTGGCAGAGTGAAAGGTACTACTGAATGAATCAGACATGTTTGAGGTTATAGAATCAGATCACCCTCTCCAACTACAAGGTCTTTGTCATAAAATTGCACCTTGGCTACTAAGGTCTATGTTTTTGAAAATAGGGTTTTTGTATGAGAAAGATGCAATGGATGAGATGAAGTTCAGGGTGGAACAGTGTATTTATAGGAAGAGAGAACGTTGTAGTAAAAGCTTTAGGTGAAGCAGCAAGCAACAAAAAGAGTTGACTAATGTATAATATACAATAGTAATAATTATAATAAATTCAGAAACCGAGTTATGTATTCAAATCATGAGAGAAGGGGAGAGAGAGAGATGAGATGAGCACTAGAACGCGTAGAATTCTGAGAGATTTAGAGTGAAGGTGTGTGTGTTTCTGAAAAAGGACACACTATGATGATGATGATGATGTCGTGTTATTAAAGTTGCTTCTTCCCCATGTCTCCTTTTATTTCTCTATGCACAACAACACGCTCACATGGTTAATTTTTTCCTCTCACAGATGGCTTTCACTCTTCCTTTCTCCTTGTTAAAAAATAAAATAAAAAATTCTCAAGAGATTTAAGATCTCTCCTTCTCCTCTCCATTTGAGACACACAACTTGCAAGTACACAAAGGAAACCTGTTTCGTATGGGTACTTTTTTGCTTTGTCTTGTACCTGACAGTTGACACTGTATATGCACGCACTACACTTTTGGACAATCACAACTTTCACACCCCCTATTGGTAAAAAACGAAATATCTAAATGTTGCTAAACAATAAGCAACTCCAACCATATTGTGATCTAAGATGTGATGTTATACGTTCCCTTTACATAGGTGGATGCAACATCTAAACTAATATCTTGTGATAAACATTAACATCGCCTTGATTTTTATTTTAATTTTTTTGCTCATTTTCTTCCAAATATTTCCTCTCCTAAACTTATAATTTTGAGCTAACATATCTCTTTTAATTGAAGGCATGTTTGGAGAAACGAATATTTACAAGGTCAGAGATGATGATATTTACTAAGGGTTAAATGTTCGAATTGAAGGGTCAATTTTATTTTTGAAGTCCTAAGATTTGATGTGTCCTTGATATGTAACTTGTCTTATTTCCTGCTTGCCGTTTTCTGAATGTAACGAATCTTTGAATTAGAATTTCTTGCACCAAGTATACAATTCAGAAGCAGAGGGCCAGAGAATCATGATGTATGTGAATAACAAGCCCTTTATGCTAACTATACAAATAAAAATAGAGCAAATATATTGAGGACAAACAGGTTTGCTTGTGTAATTTTAGACAAAATGTTTTACCTAACTGCAGAAGAGTATTTTGGAAGACTCCTAAAATAAAGTCACGATTTCTTGGCAGCAACCTCGTAATAAATTAATCTGTTCCAACTTTTTTATTGTTGCTAGTACAGTTAGATCTTACTTGAAGTAATGTTGACCTTAAAATCGAGATCACAATTTTAGTAACCTAACATGATCATATGTAGCCTTTGATATTTATAGCCATCAGCCAATTTATCTTTACTGCAATGGATCTTCGGGGAAAAAAATGGTTCTTATGATAATTTGTCTTTGTATATATATAAATGTTTAGACTAAGCGAACTTTATGCAAATTTAGGAAAAACAATCAATCTTAACGAAGACTTGGGAATTAGTGGACTGTCCTAAAATTAAATACAAGTCTTAAAAAAAATAATTTTAAAACTACAAAATATTATATTTGCGTTTAGAGATTTTTTTAAATTATTTTACTAGGTCACAAAAATATAGAAGTATATATGAACTAACAATGATGAAAAATAGAGTTATTATCTAAATGTACCATGCACCTTTTTTAGTTTTAATCGAGTAATTTTACAGACAAAGATGCAGACTAGTCTTTGAGTTACGGATAATTAGTTTTGTTTTTTCAAGGTGGAAATTCTAATATTTAAAGTTATGATATTGTACAGGCAAATTTTATTAAAAATCACAGTTCAATTTCATTGTAACCTATCAATCATTAGTGTATTTACTTTTCATATAACAAATACATTAAGTTAAAATGGTGGCCCATTGAATAACATTTTACAGTACATGATCATTCTAAGACAAGTCATGGAAAGAAAAGTCAGCTTATTCTTTGTATAACAATCAAATTATCACCAACACTTTTTGTCATCTTGCAGTGTCATAAAATAAGTTTGCGTGTAGAGCATATTGAGAAGGTACTACTGAATGCATATTGAATGTAAAGCAAAAACTTTATCGTATAATTAAGGCATGGCTGCGTTTCTCACGTGTAAAATAAATACTAGCTAGCTTTGTACCCTAAAAAAATATATTAATGGGTATCTTAAATACACTGGTTAAAATAAAATAAAAATATTAAAAATCATTTTAATATGTATTAAAAATTATAAAAAGAAAGTGCATCATTAACAATTTCTACCAAGAATTTTGAACTTTTAATTTCTGAACTAATATTTTAAAGTATTTAATTAGTTAGCATTTGTCAAAAGGTAAATACTGGCTAGATCATATAGCCAACCTCAAACTCAATCTGTTGTCTACAATGTGTCTCAAGTTTGGAAGCTGATTAACTGTTGAATGAATAATAGATAGGTGCTTGTCCCCCGACCGTCTCTTACAATTCAATAATGTTTGATTATTATGTTCTTTGTTAGTCATTCATTTATTTATACTTACAAGTTACAACATATTCAGTATAACGAATAGTCTCACTCTTGAAGGAGTCACCATACCTCGTTAAAAAGAAGGCACAATTTTTGTTTATATATATATATGATTCGTTTACATTTGGAAATTTACATAAATTATTAGTTTGAAAGTTTGTATGAGAGCATTAAATTTAAAATATTTCATTACAAATAATTAATAAATATTTTTATTAAATTGCTTTATTTTAACATGCTAATAATCTGAAACTATGGGTTGACTATTTCACGTACGTTGGTCAGGTTGAAAGCAGGTTCATCAGGAAACTGTGGAAGTCTAGCATCCGACCATTTCAAATATTATTTCCATTTCTTTTAATCTTTATTCATCTGCACTTAAAAATTTAAGATAATATTAATTGAGATAAGCTAAAAATAATTTAATTTATTGAAATAAATTATACCATAAAATTTATTAATATAAATTTAAAATAACTTATAAAAATCAAAAGCTACTTTACATAAATCATTGGTAAGCTTTTTTAAATAGTTCCTTAATAACTTAACATGCATAAAAAATAATTATTAAAATAAAAATAAAAATAAAAAATAAAAAATAAAAATATTAATGATTTTGAATAAATATTATTTATTTTAAACATAATGTATTTTTATTGATTTGATTGTGTATGATGTATTGATGTTCCACTTACATTGATAAATAAATTTTTTTAAAAATCATCTGACCCAAGTCGTATCCATTATGCCAACCATTTTAAAGTGGAGTTATTTTTTCAAAATATTTTTTTGGTCTAGATTTTCTTTTCTTTTCAAAATCTAAACCAAATCCGTGAGATTATAATATTTTCCTAGTCAATGCTGATTAGCTGCTGGGTAGAGTCAAATTATATATTGATGTGTAATCTTACCAGAATATCATGAAATACCATAGATTTAACATAAAAATTATAATTAATGATATTAAAATAAATTTAAATTTAAATTCATACTCGTTTAAATATTATATAAATAAAAAGTAGTCAAATAAAAATTTTAATTATATACTAATACAATATTTTTATCTCTCTTTTATTTTATTTTATTTTATTTCACTTTTTTTTATCACATTTTATCATCATATATTTTATTTATTTATTTCCCTTTTCTTCTTATATCTCAATAAACATTTACACCACAAAGTGTATAACAACCATTTTCATTCTCAGAAAAGCTTATACAGTATTTCAGAAACTATCGACTAATTAACAAACCACCATCTCATGAATTTTGTTAAAAAAATTATAATTTCTAATATATATATATGACATTTATATTTAGATAAACTTAACATAAGTGATCTATTTTAGTAAACCTATTAAACTATTTAAAGAAAAATTAATATAAGTTTAATGAGTGAAAAATTAATTTAAGCAGTTAAGAGATAACAATTCTAACAGATTTTAAATTTAAAGGTATGATCATGGTTTTTAAAATATTAAATTAATTATGTCTATTCTTCATATTAAGAGACATATCAAGTTTTGTTTAAGAAATTTGGTGATTTGATTGAAAAAATCAATATATCAAAAGCTTAATAACTTATGATTATTGTTAGATTTTATAGGAGTTTTCAATCAATTCACATGGATCTATTTATTAACTAAACCTTAAGATTTTATTTGGATGAAGAATTTTAAAATTGTAAAAATATGAAAGTAATATTAGGAGATACTTAAAGTAGAAGTAAAGTATAAAAGAAGTTATGAATAATTAATATAAAAAGTCAAGCATAACAGAAAGAATTGTAAATTCTCTCTAAAATAAGACATTTAAAATTCATTTTATTTAACATAAAAATTATCTTGTTAAAATTTTGTAGTATTTTAATATTAATTTTTTTTATTTCCTAAATACATGAATTGTAAGAATTTTAAAATGTCCTATCCAAACATAACTCAAGAATATTAATAATTTGATATAATAGATTTTCTAGTTAATTTAATAATTTATTGAAATTTCTAACAAGTAGTATTAGGGCCACCAATATTGTTAAATTATTGAGATTTATATTTATGAGTGAATTTTGTAAATCTTCGTAAATAAATGATGTTTTTCCTTTGCAAAACATTAATGAATCTAGATTTATAAAGTTGTTTTCACCAAATAAATTATAACATGACTTCTTATATATGAAATTGGAATATTTTTTTTGTGCTTTCATGGTGCTTTTGTGGATTTAGCTTTTCAAAAGTCATCATAATTGTATATTTAAATAATAAATGAGAAAGTAAGAATATATTTATTAATGTTAAGTTATTGTTAATCTTTATGAATCTAGTATATTAACCTTTA